TGTGAGAGGGGTAGTGTGAGCAATGTTACTGGTGGTGTGCGTGAGAGAGGTAGTGTGAGCAATGTTACTGGTGGTGTGCGTGAGAGGGGTAATGTGAGCAATGTTACTGGTGGTGTGCCTGTAAGGGGTAGAGTGAGCAATGTTACTGGTGGTGTGCGTGAGAGAGGTAGTGTGAGCAATGTTACTGGTGGTGTGCGTGAGAGGGGTAGAGTGAGCAATGTTACTTTTGGTGTGCGTGAGAGGGGTAGAGTGGGCAATGTTACTGGTTGTGTGCGTGAGGGGTAGACTGAGCAATGTTACTGGTGGTGTGCGTGAGATCGTCAGTGTGAGCAATGTTACTGATGGTGTGTGTGAGCGGTGTAGAGTGACAAATGTTACTGGTGGTGTGCGTGAGAGGGGTAGTGTGAGCAATGTTACTGGTGGTATGCGTGAGAGGTGCAGTGTGAGCATTGTTACTGGTGGTGTGCATGAGAGGGGTAGAGTGATCAATGTTACTGGTGGTGTGCATGAGAGGTGTAGTGTGAGCAATATTACTGGTAGTGTGCATGAGAGAGGTAGAGTGAGCAATGTTACTGGTGGTGTGCATGAGAGGGGTAGTGTGAGCCATGTTACTGGTGGTGTGCGTGAGAGGGGTAGAGTGATCAATGTTACTGGTGGTGTGTGAGACGTGTAGTGTGAACAATATTACTGGTGGTGTGCGTGAGAGAGGTAGAGTGAGCAATATTATTGGTGGTGTGCATGAGAGAGGTAGAGTGAGCAATGTTGCTGGTGGTGTGAGTGAGAGGGGTAGTGTGAGCAATGTTACTGGTGGTGTGCACGAGAGGGGTAGTGTGAGCAATGTTACTGGTGGTGTGCGTGAGAGAGGTAGTGTGAGCAATGTTACTGGTGGTGTGCGTGAGAGGTAGTGTGAGCAATGTTACTGGTGGTGTGCGTGAGAGGTGTTGTGTGAGCAATGTTACTGGTGGTGTGCGTGAGAGATGTAGTGTGAGCAATTTTACTGGTGGTGTGCGTGAGAGGTGTTGTGTGAGCAATGTTACTGGTGGTGTGCGTGAGAGGTGTAGTGTGAGCAATGTTACTGGTGGTGTGAGTGAGAGGTGTAGTGTGAGCAATGTTACTGGTGGTGTGCGTGAGATGGGTAGTGTGAGCAATGCAGATATATTAGTGGGGTTTATTAATGGGATATAATCACTAATTTTAGGATTCTTGATGGAAAGTACAACGTCGTTATTCCAAAATGTGAAATTGAATGATTTGTCTACCTAGAAATTCATCTTTATACAAGCAACGAAATAAATAAGCTGACAGGGGAGCACAATTTGTTCCATGGGAATGCCAATAATCAGTTAGAAAATATATTCCCCAAATTCGACAAAAAAGTTAATAATAAGAAATTCAAATAAATGTCATTTTCATGGTATGATTTACAAGCAAACATACGCTTCACATTTTTCATTTTTGCCGCAAAGTCAAATCATTTTGTCATTATTTATTAATGTGCTCTGTCATAATCTACAGTCTGTTGCGCTTTCATGGGATAATGTAGGTCTATTTAATCTTTGCTATTCCTTTGGCATAGATTTAATGTCGTACATGCATTGCATAAATTATTTGAGTTGAAACCCCATTGTGACAAGATAAGAACCATAAAAATAGATATATTCATTTATATAAACATGTTTTACTGACTGTGGCGGCGAATGGTAAAGCTTGAAAATTACGAGCAGTATTAGTAGTAATCTATTTAATACAGTGACTCACATGTCCAAAAGCTGCCAAGCTCAATAGACCTATAAGTCACTTCAGTCACCTAACTGATACATTCACTTATGAAAGCTATAAAAATACAATCACGTGAGTGGTATTAAGGCGAGAACAGAGTCAAAGGAAGTCCCTATTATGTTTATAAAAGCATAAAATTATCACTATGTGGTACCGTGATCACATGATAGCAATACAACAATATCAGGACAAGCTACTAAAGCGTTGCAATCACTTCTGGTTAATATGTCATTAATAGGACCAGTAATAAATTATATCTGATTCGATACAAGCACAATATATTATTGCAATATAAAAGCATTATTAGGGGGTCACATCGATATGAACAGCGGATACTGAAAATGTCTAATTCAAATTTCGTAAATGTTTGCTATATCCACCAAAGATGCCGTCAGTGCATGCAGCAGTATACATAGTCTTCTAAATCACAATTTAATCTGAAACGAGAGGTTTTTTATTACATCAGAACATTTTCAAATGACGGCGTTGCGCACTCTGCTCTTTGATTGGCTGGTTTCCATTAACATTTATAAATATTTATATAGATGAAGAAATGCCTTTATTGCGCCGAGAATATTCAATATGAACATTTGGCCCAGATCTCCTGTAAAATAAAGTTTTCTGTGCAAGATCATTAAAATTATTGCTTATTAGTTAAGACCTTGGTGAGGATTGCCATAACTAGGTGGTGGTTGTGGTTGTGAGATTATATTGTCAACGTACCGACCACACCTTCAATTTTCAAAATGGTTGTAGATTCGTTTGAAAGATTGTCCTTTATAAATTACATGAACACAGCTATAGAACACATCCAAATACAAGAATATCTACAGACATCGTGAGTTCACCTCGAAACTAATGCCAATTAGAAATGTAATTCAGCTTACTATGCGCTTCACCGCATTGGTAAAGTTCCGGCTTTGTTGGACAAACCAGCTACGATGAAGTAAGTCTATGCATTTGTGACGTCAAGGTTGGCCTCACTATACTCTATGGATGCTCACAATTTCATTTAGACACACTCTAGCCGATTCAAAATGCTGTAGTCAGACTTATAGACCATATTACATCTGCACTTCATGATTTGCATTTAAATGCATTTGTGAAATACTCGATATTTAATTAAGTACTGTTGATTATGTATCAAATTTTAAATAATTTTTCTCCAACTTGTTCATGTGACTTATTTGACCGAGGTCATATATATAACTGATTTATTTTGTATTGAATATACAAATTCAGTAGTTTAAAAACTCGTATTTTTAGAAAACAGATCGTCATTTAAATTGTTGACAGTATAGATATTGTAAAAAGTAGTTGAAAACGGGTTGTTCTAGAGAATGTTTAACCATTTAAATTTCTTTTTATTCATGTATTGTACAGCGATGAACATCCATATAGATAACTGTTTTCATATTATTATCAGTATCGTTATTATATGTGTTGATTATTCGCCAGAATACAATACAACGCACGCGTAGTGACCTATATACAATGAACCTTCACATGTGTGGCAGTCAACTGCTCGTTGCCAAACAGTAGACATCGTGCTACGCCAACGTTGTGCACGTAATCGTCAGTGTTCTAGTCTTCGGGCTTAGTAGTACACGTATCTCGGAGATCACAGAATAATCCATATATGTACAGCATTTAGCCTATATTATATTTGAGATTATTACAGGTGATATAAGTGAGTATTGATAATGAATGCAAACTAATGATGTCTATATTACTGTGACAATAACTTTCAACCTTGGTGTTAACTCATTCCTTCGCGCCTGATATTTAATCTTTCCCCAATGGACTGTATTCACTACAATTTATTGTATATGTTGCAGGTGACAGATTGAGTCGGTTTCATCAAACGCTCCGTGCATCTCGTCAAAACAGAAAAAGCAAAGCGTGGTATGTTTCACAGAATTAATCTAACGACATTAGAAACGGGAAATCTACGAAATATGTCAGCGGATTCAAGAGATGAAATCAGCAAACACATTGGTTCAATTTTTCTCATCGTTATTATAACGTTGTCGATTACGGGAAACATGCTAGTAATCGCCGCCGTCATGTATTCAGCAAAACTACGTGAGCAGTTTTCTATTTATTTCATTGTAAATTTAAGTTTGACAGATTTGACCAATGCTACGTTTGTAATGCCCTTCGCAACGGCGTCTTTTATGAATGATTCTTGGAGTTTTGGACCATTAATCTGTGAGATGAACTGTGCATTGAATTACATGTGCATTATAACGTCAATGTTGACGTTATGTTTTATCGCTGTGGAACGCTACATTGCCGCAGTGGATACAAGTATGCACCGAAGAAGCGTAACTAAAAAGACGATCCTTGTAATAATAACATTTTCATGGGTTCAGGCATTTGTTTTTGCCATCATACCTGTTGCTTCGTCTTGGGTAACGTATGACTACTGGGAAAGTGTCTGCGCCATTGATTGGAATCATGGTGGGCTGCGGCCGTTGGTTTACGTTATCACGGCGTTTATACTGTGTTTCTTGTTGCCATCGGTAATCATGTCTGTGGCGTATATAAGACTCTATCGAGCAGTATCAAATACATGTAGCATAAATCCATCTGAAAAAAGAATAATGCAATCATTGGTAGTCATAGTTACACTTTTTCTAGTCTGTATGTCGCCGTTCTGTGTTACTAAACTCATCAAGATATGTTTTAGTAAATACTCCATACCACACGCAGTGAACACACTCGCCACCTTCATGCAGTTTTCGGCGAGTGCAGTTAACCCAATCATTTACGCGTTTTTCCGTCGCGATCTTCGACTCGTGTTCAAAAGAATGTTATGTTTCAAACGTTTTGCTAAAGTGGAGCCGGGAAGCGGGGTAACAACGGTGTTTTCTTTGACAGGTCGTCAACAGACAGCTAAAAACATATCAGACATTCAACACGACCCGAACCTTAAACAACAAACATTTATAGAAGAAGATATGGAAGTGGAGAATGACCTCGACCTGGATGTGTTTTATTTAGACGAAGCGCCCCAAAGCGGCAACGCTTGCATGCTGTCGAAGTGTTGAAATCACCGAGTAGTGAAAGTAGAGATGGTTAACTCAGTGGCAGATTATCCTTCTGACATAAGCAGTCGAAGAGGCACACCCATCAGTCAGTAATTATCTTACACAATTGTATGGCATAACACAGGCTACTCTAACGTCAACATTACAGAACACATCTCCTTCGAAAGTGAACTCGCTTCCTTTTGATCTCATCACTAATTAGTCGTCAATATGAAGAAATTGTTGGTTTATATTTACATACCATTCTACAAGTCTCAAATATGTATAACTGAACATTATTTATGTATATGTTTTTAAATATAAATCTTACGTTAAATACATATATACATACCATATTATATTTAACTACCAGACAGGTATATAAGACATCACATAAGTTGAGAATCGATGCAAATGTGTAAGGGTAATATCGATGAGGAATTACGTGGTAATTGCGCTAAAAACACGTCGTAGCACAGTTACCATACAGTTATGTAATCATTATTTATACAAAAAACTAGATTTCACGAATGTTATTGTTCATCTTGTACAGATTCGCCGTCAGTTATTATGAAGAACGTGTTAATAATATTCAGTTATTATTATTCTGAGATGGGTTTGGGATTTGAGTCAATAGTTCTAGCAATTATAATTGTTTGATTTGTGATTTCACGGTTTCTGCCAATGCATTTCTATCTGACCCAGTGACTATTTGATCTACGTGACATTTAACGCCTTTGTTATTAATCAAATGTAAGATTTATTTACAAGGGGGCAATAAAGATATTATTATAAACCCGTAGCGTACTGATATGACTGTTGGAGACTGGAATCCAAACGCACTTTCCATGCTTTCGTACATACTCGTCAACCAATTTTAAAGTTTTACATATAAATAAATTTAATCGTTTTTTATTGAATCATTATTGGGCAGGTTTTAATGTTATTTTGATGCATACACGTTGTTGCATTGCCGGTCCATGAATATAGCTCACAATGATATATATATAGTGAATTGCTACTTTCTCAAATATATACTGTATACGTGTTGTCATTCAATCTGTTTGTTTTATTGTGTTATTAACAAGGTAATCGCACAAACCATGAAAGTAAAATATGATTTGATAATAGAAATTATAATTTGTGTGACTTGTTAATTGTACGACTATCTCTTTATGGCGTGCGTTTTGACTACACCTGCACCTACCTCCATTCATACGCTACATTGTCAGGGAAATAATCAGTCACTTGACTTTTTGTATACAACACCATCCAGACACCACACTGTCAGATTAATAATCAGACGGATTTCGATGATGAGGGTAACCAAAGCAGCAGACGTTTTGATATGTTCAGTTGCTTTCACAGGAATGAGCGACATTATCGCTGTATTAAAAAAACGCAAGGAAAAACGCACATACTATACATGATTTGTGATTAAGCAGGGACGCTATCAAAACAATCCGTGATGAACATAAGCCAGGTTTTACAAACAATCATTTGCATTCGTGTTTTTTCACTAGAAACGTGTGTTTGTTTTGCAATTTTGCGTGACATTGCATATTTGGATCTTTTTCGGATGTCACGCAAGTCGCATCTTCTTAATGCCTCAAAATCACGTTGCTTTTTCCGTCGGAGAATACTTGATATCTCAGCAACTGTATAGAGTAAATTATTTGGAATATGCATTATTTAATTTCTATGGTTACATCTAATCAGTTTCAGTTTATCACTCAATACGTGAGTTTTGCAATCTGTACACAACCTTTCAATCTTAGGCTATAGCTATGTCATTTTAGTCGCACAAAAGAAGACAGGTACATGTGATATTTTGCATTGTCAGAATGAAATTATTAAATGCAATGAGCTATTGATGTCGTAGTGGCTTTGCGTTTGATCTAGGTACTTTATCCCTATAAGTTAACACACCTCGAAGATGTAGATGATTTATGTATACGGATTTAGCATTTTATTTCAATAATCTACAACCCGTGACAACGCTTTTGTTCAATTTAGTGCAATTATAATCAGTTCAATAATATGTTACTATGATTCAACTATTTTGTGACAATTAGGTTATTGCTATCCCCGACGTAATTTAAAAATATGTTTGATTCATTTTCAATAGTATTAAACATCAAATGAAAAGCAATGACGAAATGGTTTAATATCTTATCTTATTAAAATAATGAATAATTCATAAAATATATATTCATGCATTCTGAAAGAGAATGTGGTCCGAGATATGTGCAATGCATATTCAATGCAGTATACGTGGATCTATAAGAGTACTCGATAACAAAAGATCAAGTCAAGCAGGAACTGAATTGCATCTTATACCATAATGTGTTCCTATGTTCCGATTAAATCAGCGTGCAATTAATTTTCCCAGGCACGTTTAATTGTTTGACCAGATATTAAGTATGTTAGGAGTGAATTGAATTTGTAACCTTTTCTATGTTTTCATTATCATTGAGTCGTACTATTAGGTTACAGAAAATGAAAAAAAAAGATGGGAATTTATTATAATACATTGAATATGTGTACCGTAACATGGTCGGTGCAGAAGAACAGCCAGCCTCGAATCAATTTACCACGCCAGATTCAATGTACTTTTGACGTATGTCACAAACATATGGTATGATATTATAATTACCCAATAATTCATGAACTAGATATCTGCAATAAAATATGAAACACTTCGCGGATAAATCTGATACATTCACGTCAAAAGATAATCATTATATACAATAATACCCGTTTAACAGGAAGAAATAAGCCAAGGTTCGATTTCATTCTTTTAAATGTCACAAACACATAATATCTTTGTATTCGTAATACGAAGCAGGATATAATCTTTAAGATAGGGGGACTTAAATTGTAGAGAAGCATAACACAACACACTAACACGAATGAACATGCCTTTTAATCACAGTATTACAATGCACTATTAAATGAAAGTCTATTTTGTAAAGCGGGCCATCTTAGCGGTACAATGTCCCGGTATTCAATTTACGGATACTGCAAGGAGTCAAGTTGCAAATGCAAATAGAAGACAACGGGACGATAACAAGTTATATACATTTTTGTTTTTTACATTCACAAGTTTCAGTTGAAATTGTGAATTTATATACCCCAAATAGTGTAATATAACATATGAACCATAACAAGATAAAACGTGCATATCTTGTTTTGTATTTAATGATTTTGTGATTGAGTTGATACTACTTCAAGATCTGTAGGACTACAAATCTCAATCTCCAAAGTATTTTAATGAATGTCCACCTCGTTCCATTGCTTCACATAACCAACGTTCTTAAAATGTTGTTTATCATATAATAACAAATCCTTAAAAATACATTGATTTGCCCCCACAGAAGTATATTTCATGTTAAGACACGAGGGATTACCGACACAGTTGTGTAGTTATAATTGCTTTTATTTCTCACGAACGCATCGCGTATTCTGTATTGGGATTTTGTTCATTCGTAATATTTGCTGCAATTTTCCTAAATTTCAACTTATTTTAGGGGCTACTGAATAATAATAATTAGAATAAATACAAGTGCTTCCCAATATGAACCAGTTTTACCATTAACAGGTATTATTGACCTCTGTAGCTGTAGCTAGCTAGTAATTTTATAGTACTAAACTTACATTTTGACAAAAGTATTATAATTCCAACAACAACCTTTCAAGGATACGGGGTTGATTCTCATCCTTGAATCCAAATAATACGATAATTCATTATACATTGGGTTAATGTTGAACACTGTAATACAGACCTTTTAAATATTATCTGAACTCTTGAGATTCTACACTAATTCTAATATATCAAACCATTTTGTTTTACCTACTTACCACCTCAGAAACACTCGAGATTAACCACAGACGAATGACTTTATATCTTCATTCCTTTCTGAAAAAGTAAAGTAAAGACAGTGTTGCCTTGCCCATGTCTGATTTCCCTGGGTAATTAGGAAAAACAACCTCATTTGTTACAATACTGTATATTACTTCCATGCACCTTTATTACATTTTCAAAGCATTGGATAAGTATTACAAATCCACACAAATTCAATTCATCAGTCTAGGCAAATCCATTTTTTCATTAATTCCATCGCACTGTATATAAATTTGCTACAAAAGCCATTCGTGTTTGGTATTAATTCAAGCGTAACTGAATTCAGGCATTTCATCACAGTTGTATCATCTACATTTATCAGTATCACGTGTCTTCGAGTAAGAAATAATCCTCATATCTTGTCCTTGTTTTTCAATTTACCTGTTTTTGTGATGAGGAGAACTTAGCCTATTCAAAAGTTGTACATCATTGAATGATGACAGTTAAAGATACAAAAAAATGAGTAATGAAAGTATTAAGTGGTGTTCTATTCAAAAGGATCAATTTGAATTATAATACTTTATGTTAATGAGCAATGTCCGTGCTATTGCGGATATCACGATTGTGGAAGATTTTGTTTGCATTTAATAGACAATGCATTATAATTCCTATTTTCTATTTCTTATACATGATAGGGAGTGTGACTGTAAGCCAGTCTCTATGTATGCCATATACATTGCGCATCTAGATTATATATGCACACGTGTAAGTAAAGTAGGAAACAAAACAGAAGTTATATATTTGATTCAATTATGAGCATTACATATACGATGGTGGGCAGTGGACAATGACATTGACGCGTGTGTGGTGGAATCGTTTGTCACATGCCGCCTACAGAACGTATCTAAACAGTAGATTGAGCAAATAAATAAACCCCGCGCGAACTCATCTAAGTACTACCGGTGACGTGATCGGGGAGAAACGAGTACTTGACGTAGTCCTAACTACTTTTTACTTTACAGAGTGAATGTAAAGTAATAATATTATGATTGTTTCCACTTTAGGCAGGCAGTAGGCAACCTAATATATATATATATTATAAATACGCAACCCAATATGAAAATGTCAAGACAATGCCAAACTAATACAAAGACAATATGAAAATGTTAAGACAATG